GGTTCCAGGTTCAGCAGAAACTTGAAAGCTTTGTGCCTCCGGCTTAGGCATCCTGCACAGAGCCTATGGCATATGGGGCGGCTTGGGCACCTGGCTTCGGGCCAAATTAAGGGTTTGGGGTTGAAGGACCAAGAACGTGCTTTCTATCGGCCTAACTCCGATGCCCAGAGCCTAAAGCAGCAGATTGCAGGTCCTATAGACGCTGCCTTAATTAAGTAGAATAGGATGTTGGCGGGTATGCGACCAGTATAACAGCGAACCCTACAAGGAATAATGTCGGTACTTATCCAGGCATCCATACGAAGTTGTGAATATGTTGCAGGGATTCAATGGATGTATAGGGCTTTCGAAGGTTTCAGGTATACTGTATGATACTGTGATCACATAGGATGGCATACCGTAACCCCTGAACTAATATTCAAACGGTTCCTGTCTAGTGACGCTACCACAGTCGAAGCTAGCTCTTTTGTGTTTTACTTTGAGCCCAAAAATACAAAACCTCAGCCCTTGGCTTCTCACGAAAACCCACAGTTCCCATCCTCGGCAAGGTAGTGAAAGTCTATGGAAGGCCTGGACGCAGCCGCTCAACGAGTGTAATAGGGCTTACCGCCAGAATGCAAGGGCTCTAAGAACTTCTGCAGGGTCCTGGGCTCTAAGATAACAGAGGGGCTTTAACAATTAGAATAGGGTTTTGGGGTCCTTGATACTATAGCTATGGTAAGGAACCACCAAAAGAAAAAAGGTAACGATTGAGGCACCTACATTACTCTGATTCCAATTGCACTTTGCAGGGGTTTGATTAGACATTATGAGGGCAAGTGTATGAAAGGCTACACGGTCCGCCGGCTTCAGATCCGCGTAAATCATCTTCAGGACGCCTCTGCATGTTCAAGAATAGTCTTCTACCGCACTTAGAGAACCCTGCAAAACTGCACATGCCAGACAGACGAATCTAGAAAACCCGTGAATTATGGGATTTTGGAATCTCTGGGGGAGGAACCTCGAAGCGCAAAGTCACTGTGCCTGAAACTTTCTGATTCCTGCAGGGGTTCTATGAGGGCTTGAGGTTTCTGGCCCAGGATTGAATGGCTGAGAACTATGCCCACAAGCGAGGCTTGGCTTGGTAGTGTACTGGGAAAGGTTGAAACTGTGCAGAATGGTCATAGCAGGTAGCACTCCCATCTTCAGAGCAGCTTCACTTTTTTTTGGTGCTCTGCCACCGGAACTCTGCACAGGCTCCAGTGTATGTAATACCGGAGGCTGTGACGGTAAGTTGCAGCACATGTCTACAGGGACCAGAAACTCAGAGACCGCACAGGGTCTCTTGAGTCGGTTTAGATTTTGTTTGAAGGGGGGCCTTTTTCCAGAAAGTTCCTAGGCCAAAAGGCGGCCAAGGGAGCCACCAGGCAACTATATTGCCTAGCAGTGCCTTAGGGTTTAGGGTTGAGGGGGGCTAGCTATTCAGACCCCTCTGTTCACCTTCCATCCTTTACTTTAGGCCCTCTCAACATCCTTCAACCCCAAGGTCCTGAATTCAAACATCCTACCACAACCCCCCGGCACCCCAGAAGCTGCATAGACACATCTACGGCACTGTCCGCCGCCCCGTCTGGGCCTTTGGGGCTTCTAGGCTGTGGGACTTCTGCACTTCTTCGGAGACGGATAGGACTGCAGGTTTAGAGTGCTTTGCGGCTCCCAGGGCTCAACCCGAAACCGTATCTTACGGTTTAGATAGGGTTTTTTGGGTTTAGGAGATCAGCCCTAACCCCTCATAGCCCCCGACCCATGCCTTGGCCCCTGTACCGGCGGCATCAGCAGCGCGCGATTTAATGCCTTGTCGGCTGGTCAGATTTGCTTTTTGGGTTTAGGTTTTAAGGTTTAAGCTCTCTACCAGTGTAGCCAAAATGGGCACTTGGGCCCAACCTCGTAAATTGAAGAACCTAAGAACCAATTCTCTGGCGCCCCGAACTCAAAATTCAATGCAACTTTATCTCATGGGAGGTATGCTGAACATTCGGGCTTCGGTAGGTGTGCATGCAGGGCTCCTTAGGTGTTTTGGTGAATGCATGTTTTGTGTTGTTTTGGAAGACTTTGTGAGACTACCCGGAACCCTAAATCCCAAACCCTGAACCCTAGCTCAAAGCACTTCTTCTCAGTTGCCTTTGCCAGGATCACGGAGTCGTGAAGCGCCTGGAGAATATTCCTTGGTCGTGCGGAACCCGTCTTTAGCCCAAGACAGCCTAGAGAGGGTTAGGGTTTAGCTGTCAGAAGCCCGAATTGCCCCAATTAGACCCCAAACCGTAAAACCTGAACCCTGATTTCATGGTCCCTTCGGCTTCGGGGGGGCGCATGCTCTCCACCTGCCGATCCCCCACGCAAACTCAACACTGCACTCTGCACTCGTAGCCCAGAATCCTGAAGATTGGGGACCTTGATGTTAGGAATAATTGGTGTTTCGGGGGATACCTTCATGAAACTTCGAATACGGAGCCCTAGGGTATGGTTTTACCAGCTGTTCAAGCTTCCAATGCATTCAGCGCGAAACCGCCCTAAACCTCGGGTAGGCCGGAAGAGCTAATGCTAAGCCCTGGGCCCCATAACCCCCCCAACCCTAAGCCTTAAACCGCTTGCTCCGGACCCTTTGAGCCAAGTCCCTAAGTCCTAAAGCCTCGAGCCTAGCTTCCGAGACATCCGGATCGAAATCAGCACCGCACATATAGTTACATCTGCGCTGAAGATTCGACTTACTAAGCCCACCTGATCTCTTAAGCACCAGATCAATACCCTAAACATCCCTTTTGAACCCAGTCTACACTAAACATCCCTAAACCCTTTTTTGCAACTGGCTTGCAACGTCACGCCAGGACAGCTGACTCGTTCCAGGCTGCCTAAACCCTAAACCCTGAACCCTAGAGCCTAAACCCTTAATCCCTTTAAGGCCTTCAAGCACCGAATCAAACCCCAAATGTCAGAGCCGGGCCACCCCAGCGCTGCAGGCCAGTCGGCGACGAGGAGGATCGGCACCTTCGGGTCACCTTGGGGTGCAAGCGGGTAGCCCTTTTAGGGGTAGCTTAAAGGGATCTATAAGGGTTTCTACAGAGTGAGGTGGGTAGCCCTTTTAGGGATTCCTTAAAGGGATCTATAGGGGTTTCGGAAGAGTCGCTATATGCCCTTTTAGGGGTTCCTTAAAGGGATGTAGAAGAGTTGCTGTTAGAGTTTCTATATTACAAACAATAGCTCTCTAACTTGGGGTCCCTTTTAGGGGTCACCTTGGGGTGGGTGGCCCTTTTTGGGGTTCCTTGAAGGGATGTAGAAGAGTTTCAATTAGAGTTTCTATATTACAAACAATAGCTCTCTAACTTGGGGTCCCTTTTAGGTGTCACCTTGGGGTGGGTGGCCCTTTTTGGGGTTCCTTAAAGGGATCTATAAGGGTTTCGGAAGAGCTGCTATATTACAAAGGGTAGCCCTTTTGGGGGTTCCTTAAAGGGATCTACAAGAGGTTCTATAGAGTTTCTATATTACAAAGGGTAGCTCTCTAGCCTAGGGTCCCTTCTTTAGGGGTTCCTTAAAGGGATCTACAAGAGGTTCTATAGAGTTTCTATATTACAAAAAGTAGCTCTCTAACTTAGGGTCCCTTCTGTAGGGGTTCCAGAAAGGCATCTACAAGGGTTTCTAGAGGGTTTGGGTTTGGGGGTTTCGGGCTTGTTGGGCTCAGTGTTGAAGGTTTTCGGCCTGCAGTTCGGGATTTTGGGCTCGGAAGAGATCCTGATAAGGGCTCCCACGACGGCTCTTATGAGGGTCTTCTGTAACGGGCTCTACGGGTATCCTGGGAAGCAGCCGGGACTGTCGGGGTTCAACAGAGGGTTCTACACAGATGTTGTGTGGCTTTCCAGTTTTCTGGTGGGCCTGAGCTTGTCGGATGTAATGTGGGGGCAAATAATTACCTATTTCATTTTGGTGGGTTCCTTATAAGTATAGTACGAGTATGCTGGACTCGAAAACCCTATTCCAATTATTAAGGCCCCTATATTATGGTGGATGGCCTGAAGGTCTTCAGGTTTCGGGCATGGTCTAGACTCTGGAGCATGTGTGTGGAATGGCCTTCGGGCTTGGGGTTCAGGGGAAGACACGGTGTCGAAAGGATTGGGTGACCCATGATCGGGAACGGGTGCCTGGGACACGGTGCAGCCCCAGTTAATGATATATACCAGCGGAAGTAGGTTTGCGACTCGGGAGGCGCACATTTTTAAGGTGGAGGAGCTTTGGAGTTAGCGTGTGTTCGTGAAGGGTTGGGGAAGATTGGGAGGAGGGGGTTGGGTATGGTATGGGGGTTTCAGGACTCAGGACCTGTTTGGCACTGTAGGTTACAGCTCGCAATGGAGCAGCTATGGAGCAGCTCGGATTGTGGATCTGAGATCGAACATGCCAGAAAATGGAATCCGGCTTGGGTAGAAAAAGGCAGGGTCTAGGCCTAAATCCTGAACCCTTGCCGAAGCCAGTGACAAGCGAGACAGCAACAGCATGAAGCCTGCGCCTAAACCCTCAACCCTAAGGTGAAGAGTTCGATTCAATGCTCTAATCTCACAAGTCCCACAAGTCTCGAGGTTCTAATCTGTGAAATGAGACCAAGCACAGTATGCAAGGTCCAGGTATCTCTGACAATCACAGCCCATCGCGACTTCCGAGTTTGAGACTTAAGGTTTGCGGCCTGGGACATGTGCAGACGCTAGAACTTTCTCTCCACTTCGCATCCGGCTCATCACCAACAAGTAGGTGGGAGTACTAGCGAATCGGAGGGGGAGCCTTGTATAGAACCTCATATGGTAGGAACCTTAGTAACTTAGTTGTTGTGCGATCCCTGAATACGTCTACCCTAAGCTTCAGAGGCCCTCGAGTAACCCAGCATAGGTGTTCAGTCTCCCTAGACCTTCAAGTGCCCTCAAGCAGCCAGTAGCTGTGACTATACACGGAGCCCCAGCTTTGAGAGGATCCACCGTTCTTCAATGCTTGTAGCCTTTTGACTTCTCCAGGAAGGAGAGGACGATTTTCGCTATGATTGGCTCCCACTGCGACATTACAGCTGCGTGGATAGTCTCTTGGCGTCTGCTGAAGTACTCTTTGTCGTTCTTGCTCTTCTTGGCGAACACGGACACTTCATGCTGATTGATTTGGTTGAGGACCTCGGCGAAAGCATTGTCACTGTACTCGGGAGACCGCACGGCATCGTCCGTGAAGTCTTCCACCAAAATGCACTGTGTCTGATTCAGAAGTTTGAACTTGCTTTCGTTGCCGGCCACGTAACGAATGGAATCGGGCTTCCGGCCAGCCTTGACCGCCACATCGGTGCTGAAGACATGTTTTCGGTCGCCGGTGTTCTTATACACGGAGCTGCAACCAAAATCCGGCTCGCAATCTTCTTGAGTGAAGTACCACAAGAAGCGCTCGCGACCTCGACGGCAGTAATGCAGCTTGTGAAACTCCGCTGGGCCCTTGCTCTTGCCAACCTCAGCGGAGTCATCGTCGGACTTCTCACCCCTTGACTGAAAACTCAACCTCTTGCATTGGTGTTTGTCCAGTGAGCGATGAGAGTGTGAGAGAAGAAGCTGTATATCGATCAAGGCGTTGTCAAAGTTCCGGGTCGTATAGATGCCCCACTCCAGCAACGCATGATCAGTTTGGCGCTCCAAAAACGTGAGCAAATCTGCCACACCAGGTCGCAGGTATAACCAGGAAGGGTGACCTCGCTTTCCCATGGGTCGTTCGATGGGACTCAAGGGAGTGTCCAATTTGTTGCCATCTCGAGGGGACCAGCAAAGAACACCGCTCAAGTCGAAGAGCACCAGAAGCTTCTGGCTGGCATTCGCATTCGGATGCCCACCGGAATCTCTTATGTAAAGTATGTGTTGTTTTCCACACTCTGGACAAGGACGATATGCGCAGTCGATGCACATGGGGGACTTGCAAAATCCAGTATCATAATCATGAAGGGCTACCAAGCAGAAGTCTCGGTTGCAGCGTTTACAGATGTCCCGAACACCTTCCCACTCTGTGTCACAAGCCCATTGAGACGATGTAGATGCCGCTGCAGGATTCATGGCAAGTTCTGCTTTTGGAACCGTCGGATCAATTTGGGCCGCCAATCTATCCGAAATACTGCCTAGCCTTCTCTGGCTTGCGCCAGATGCTGCGACTCTGGGCCAAGTTCTGGCCTCGGAGTTCCCTGTACCGGACTAAATCCTAAGGTAGGAACCTGATTAAGAAACCCTGGCCCGTTAACCCCCCCCCCCAAAAAAAAAGAGCTCATAGTAAGAACCCTAATAAAAGCCCAGGGTTTGTTAATCAGGTTCCTGTATTTCCTGGACAGAGAAAGAACGTCATGTTCTCTGTAGGCCATATACCACACAAAAGTAGGTGTTTTTAGGGTGCCGACAAAGCCTAACGCACCTCAAATTCAGGACCGCTTAGTACTTAGAGCCCCGGTGAATCCCGAAGCTTCCTCAACCCGAGAAAGCCACATACTCCCCGAGCCTGAAGAAAACGTCGGCGCCGTTATTATTGGAGTAAGGGCTTGGGAGAATTATAATCACTGTATATACGCATCTTGTCAGTTGCACTATATAATGTAATGTATATACGCGCATATACATATATCTGGATGTACGTATGTATGCATGCATGCATGCATGTATCTATTTGTGTGTATGTATACATATATACATATATGTATACATACATTGCTGTTTTACGGGCTATACAGGGGGACTCTTATCGATTGTTTTGGGTCACATCCTGAGCACCGAACTGACCCGATCTCTAGTCGTTGCTCATGCAAAATCTCGCAAGTTGTAGTCACCTTCGCCCTACCTAAAGTGCCCATGTTGGTTCCCTTCTCGGTTGCCGTGGGCTTCTATGATGGGATCCTAGCCATAGCAATGTTACCCCAAGTGGAACTGCAATGCAGGCTAACTAGCTAATTATAGGTAACGCCATCTCACGGGTGTGGTGAAATACAGAGGCCTCAAGAACGAGAAACAAAGGTTCTTAAAGGGTTTTGTGTGAAGGCTCTTAAGAATAGAATAGGATTCTGGGTATATTATGCAATAGTTGTAGTCAGGAGGCCTAAGGACTAGTACCCGTAATTCTTCTAGCCTAAACCCTGCCAGCCCTGAACCCGCAGTTATCTTTGCCCAAAGGCCCTAAACACTAAACTATCCTATCCCAAAGCAATATGCTGCAACCCCGTACTGGAACAACTCTCAGGCCTCAATAACATTAGGAATTAGGGTTTTGGAGTTTCGACTCGCGCACTCAAGGTTTCAGGGTTTGGGGGCAAAGTTTGGACTCCCTTCGGCCTCACAGTTTAGGGAATAGCTTCAAGGACCAGAAGATAACCATGGCTGGGCAGCTTGCTGCAGCTCTTGACCGCACGATCGCAGCACGAGCCTTCGCTGTCGCTTATCACATCATCTTGCACATGCACTCGGACAATAAGAGTGAAACTAATCAGGCGCAGGCTAACTGAAAGTATAACGGTATACCGTCGAATGTCGTGCGGGATCCCTGCGTTTTATAATTGTGGTCCAACTTCTTCGAGGGGCTGCCTATTCGCAAAGGATACGACCCTGCAAATTTGGAACAAGCAAGCTTAAGCTGTTCTGCTTGTGTGCCTCATGTGAATGGAGATTTGGCGACACCCTATTTAAAAAAACACTAAAGGCACCCTTAGCGGGGGAACGCGTAACGGAACCCTTCAACGCTTGAGGCCTGGAGCTATCGTAGAATCCCTGGATGCCAAGTCCGACACACTGGTAACAAGCCCTATTCAAAACCCTGGTGTGTGACACGAAAACTTCTTGTACCCCGATAAGAACTTCTAAAGTCGGAAGAAACATTATGAAACCCGCAAGACTCCACAAGAGCAGCCTGAAAACACCCTGCTGAACATCAATCAACATCTACCTCATCGTGACGGATCTAAGTCCCGAAGCATGCAACTGCCAACGACCATCAACCGGGTTCAAACTACCTCCAACTGCGCCTGCAAAGCTGCGACTTCTACTTCCTACCAAACCTTTGACCCCCGAACTCTACACGCCGGTGCACAACATACCTCCCGACACACTCAGAGGAGAGCTTCCCCCAGCCGCAAGAAAGCAATGTATCAAACCCCCCTGAAAGTAACAATGCAAATGCACTGCTATGCACTGCTGTAGAATTCAGTGACAACCTTGAAATGCCTCGCTTCCAAATCCTGCAAAACAGACTGCGCACGTGAGCGCGCGCGTACGATCACTCAGACAGACAGACAGACAGACAGAAAGAAAGACATGCAGACAAACAGCCAGCCAGCCAGACACACACACACACACACACTCACACACTCGTGCTCACACACACTCTCTCCCGCACGCAACGGTATGTATGTAACACAATGAAAAATATGTACGTATTATATATATATATATATCTATACATATACACAAGTAAATAAGTCTACACATGGGTTAATCATGTACACACGTGCTTAATCATCAAAATAAATATTTCCGTTCACGGGCCTCTTTCCCCAGAGCAGCAGGAAGCCGTGCCGAGGAAACATCCCAGGATCTGAAGTGCTGGCGAAGGTCTTTTGAACTTTTGGGCGCCGGGTTGACAGTTTAGCCATGCTAGAGTCTAAGGGTTTAGGCGCTCAAGCAATCAAAACTCTTCTGATTTCATGCGCCTTGCGGGGTGGTTGGCGAGCCGTTCCAGGGGTCCGGCGTAGGGCTTTAGTGCTCAAGGGGTTGGAGGTTCAGGGTGGAACTGTGCAGGGCTACAGGTTTACACCGCAGGATCTCGGACTTGGAATTTAGTAGGTGTCTTTGCTGCTTTTTGTAGGAGCTTGTGGAGTAAAGGCTCGCTGCGAGCTGTCCTCGAAAGGGAGAGAAAATGAGGAACCCCTAAGATGCGAAGCTTTAGGTTTCTCAATCTGCAAAACGGCCCTCACCTGCTGTTTCGAAATCCAAGCTGAGACCTGTAGAACCGTGAAACGCCTATCAAAAGCAAAGAAGCGGTAACTAGCAATGGGAGAACTGGGATCGGCCTCGACGGTCCCTTCTGTGCGGCTTGGAGATGCCTCTCCAGATGACACAAACAGCCAGCTTGCTCGTTTCAGCCCAGCCTGTGGGGTCCCGTAACCTCATTGTCTGAAGGGTTCTTCGACCCGAAAACGTGCATGCATGCATACATACAGGGATCAGGCGCATTGCACGGGATCAGGGCTTCGTGCTTGTAGCTTCGGGCAGACTCAGAGTGTTCAACGTTAGCTATGGCTGTAGGGTTGCTTGTTTGGCTGGGGCCAGGGCCGGCGCTTCAGATTTTGCAAGATTCCTCTGCTGTTATTATACGATTTTCAGAATATGTTCTGCTGGCTGATTGTTCATTCCATTCAATCCCTGCACCATGCATACTAGACCCTGGCACCTAAGCACTAATCCCTGAGTCTCTGAGTCCTGCAAGTATGCACGCCCCAAACCAGCAAGTCTCTCTATTTCTCTCTCTTTCTCTCTGGAGGCGCGCAAGGCTTCCCAACAAATGCCAAAAACTAGTACAACTTGAACTGAACAACCCAACCACCGTTCTGGATTCAAACCCTATCGATATAGAAAACATGTACCTAAACTATGCTGAATGCAAAAACGCAAGGCCCCTGCAGCGCTTTCACGCAGAAATTTTTCTGCTGGCACATCGGGCTCGTCAGCTGTGTCCCGTCGGAAGAGTCGGCCACATCATCTACGCTGAAGACAAACAGCCGCAAATGCACAGGTTAGAAATTCAGGTTTAGGGTGAGTTCATGTTGGCTTTAAGTTCAACGCTGAGTGGCCGAACGGGTATTAAGGCTTGGGACCTTTTTGGGCGGCGCAGGTATGGGGATGTAAAGATTCCAGGTATCTCGCTGCACAGGTAGAGCACGCTTTTCGAGAGACCATTATGATATCTATAAGTTTCAAGGTAGACCAAAGCATATTAATTAGGCCCCTGAACCCTGCAACCTTTCACCCCTGAACACCGGAATCAAAATGTCTGGTGTTTTCTTATCACCCAAACCCTAAACCCATAAGCCTTGGCCTCCCGAGATCCGAACCTTTGATTCATACTTATAGCCCCTTATGCCGCAACCCCTAAACCGCTAATGCCCAAACCGCCCAAACCGCCGACCTGTCTGCCCATCTTCCTAAGCCAAAGCGTCCTTACCTGATACTCATATACTCTGCCAAATACAAACCTACAGGACTACTATCGTAGACCCAAATACCCAATTACAAAGTCTTTTGGACCCGTAGGGCCAGGGTAAGGGAACCCAGTCCAAACAAGCCGCTGAAGAAGCGACAACCTCCTTCAGACCGAATACCCTTTCAGGATTGCTTTCAAGAAACATCAAGCCCCCTATGTGCTTTTGAAGCCGCACCGCTTAACTGAACCCGAAACAGCCTGCATTTTTAGGGCTCCCTATTATGATTGCCTCATATAATATAAATCCTTAAAAGGTAGGATATTTGGGGCTAAGGTAAAGTTATAGGGGTGTATCGTGGCCCCAAGCTTTCCAGAAGACGGCGGTGCTTAATCACAGGCTGTCCGCAATAAGACAGCACCACACTTAGGGAATCTATGGTGCAGGTACAAGGGTTTCAGATGGTTTACGGTTTGGGGATCGAGGCTACACTTGTTTGAAGGGGTCGGCTTCCGAGAAAAAAACAGGTGCAGAGCCTGTCAGCGTCGGTTGCTGGGGAACAGACATCCGATCCGAGAACCCAAAGAACGAGTAGTCGAGGATCGCTACCGAAACGACCGTCATTTGAAGGGTCCTGGATTTAAGGATCCTTTCTGCCTAAAAATCCCGCGAAAGTCTGATCTTAAAGGTCGGATTCCGGTGTTTTTTGTGAAAGACCTCCCTCAGGGTTCTTGTACCTATACACTGTATACATCGGGCGGTTTTTTCATGCAAGAGCCACATTCAGGCCAATCTTTGCACTTGGGCACTGCACCGTTTCTCAAGATTTTCCTGTCCTTGAGCATGAACCCTTAACCAGTGCACCGACAGACTCAGAGTGGCCTC